GATAAAATTCTTCTATATATTCAAGAATTGTCACAATTTAAGCTAAGCCTTTAGTTATAATTCAAACTTAATTCTATCTAACTAAAACTTTGCTTTCATCACGTGCCTATAGATATTGAAAGTGTAAATACTTATAGCCAGAGTCGACTTTAGTCACCTTTCAGAATCGCAAGTAAACAAAGCTTTGGCTTTAGTTGTGTTGCATCAGCTTTCGCGCTTCGATTGCTGCGCTTTCGTCACTCGCCTTAATTTGTCTCAGTGTACTGCCTATGTATGTGTATGTATATCAAGTGAGCTCTCATTTCCATTGAAATTGCACCTCTCAAACAGTGTAGCCGAGTGTTTGGCTAATATTCTCATTGGTTAACCGTCTGGCTGGTTGCTTATCTGGCCCACAATTATTTGCCATGGGAAAACGAGGGCCTATTCACTGGAATTTTTTTACTGTGCTTTTTATTTGACTTATGACGAGAGTTTTTGTTTTTTTTTCATGTTTTTTTTTTTTTACTGTGTGTGGGCTGCTTGTTGCGCCCGTTGTTTGCCTCACTCGTTTGTGTCGTTGTTTCGCTTAACTTTTTCATTGCCAGACAGTGCGCAAACATTTGCAAGTATTAATTAACGCTTTGTTGAAGTTTGCGCTTCGATGTCGCCGACAGGGCGACATGGTTTGCTATGTCTACATACTCGACTTTTTTTTTTTTTTTTTTGGTCTAATATTACGTAGCCGCACCGTTTTGCCTTTCGAGTGAGACAGATTTGAGACTGGAAGTTATTCCCGTCGCTCACTCAATTATTCAGGCATAATAAGCAAATTGTTTTAATATGCATAAATATCTTGTACGCCATTTGGCAAACAAGTCAAAAACTGCCAGACGAGCTGGCAGGCGAGACAGCGGTGTCGTCAGTGAGGTGAACAGGGGTTGGCCTTCAAGGTGTATTTACATATATTTAACCTTCAAGATCCGCAGACTAAATATGCCAACGGCAAGCCGAGCGACAAACATTTGCCCCATGCGGCCTAGGCGACTTTGCCAATACCCCACAGCAGGCAGGCTGAGGGCTCGGGCTGCGTTGGCTGCTCCAAATGGCCAACCATGTAGCGCAGTCTAGTCTGCCTCATTTGCCTCGGTACTTCCACAAAATTACGTTACGTTACGTGCGTGCTCTGTCTGTGTGTGGCATTCAGAAGCGAGGGGGCGTGCACCGAGGGTGTGGGCGTGGGTGTGGCCATGAACAGGGGAGCAACAAATAAAAGCTCAGGCCACAACACAGAGCAGATAACTAACTACGCATAAGCGAGAACGAAGGATATGCGTTGCAGAAACCGCACGGCTGTTAGCTGAGAAGGATTAGGGAAAAGTGGGCTACGGCAAGGGGTTAGTTTGACTATCGAATACCCTAGATACAGCCATTAATTAATTTAGAGTAACGACTAGGACTGCGCAGCAACTTGAGGGGAATTAAACTGAAGCGAATACATAAAAGACTGAAGCAGAAACGTAACTAGCCAAGGTTAATTGGTTAAGACAAATGCCTGTGCCTTCAATTATATAATTAGAGGAATGTCTATTGGGTGATGAAAGTCTGTCTTGCCACATATGTGTGTGAATAAACAAGGAAGGAAGATAAAACCTACAAATCCGCCAGGTCATGATGAAAATATAAGACTCAAACTGCGAAACCGCGATAATCTTGCAAATCATAAAGCAAACGAAGGAATTTCTTATAAGTTTCAAATCCTAGCTTTGATTAATGACAAGAGCAAGAGACAACAGTTTGATACCTTTAAAGGAGAAATTCACTTGAATCCAACTTGATTCGTTTCAAATTTGTTTTACTTGCTCTCTTGGACTATGGGCAAATAATGAGCTTCCTTAGGGTCAACGGAGCTCAAATCTAAAACCCTCTTGAACCACTTTAGCAGGCTACAGGGTATAGCAAAAAGGAACGAAAAGGTTGGGCAATGCAAAGGGCAGCGGGACATGTTCGCTGTCTGTGTGCCGTTACGTATACGCACATGCAAACATGCACGACGTAATGCGAGCTCAAGGACACCAGCCAAATCAAACAAAAAAAAACTGAAAAAAAGAATGTGCTGCCTACGCATATTTACGCATACATAAGCATTCGCATTAAGTTGTGTGCTATGCGGCGTATACGTAATGCTGGCAAAATAAAGCATACGCCGTGTGGCCGCCTGCCGCTCGACGTAGGCGTCGGAAGTAGGCAACCGAAAGGAAGTAGAGACAACAATTTTTGTGCGCACCTCACATTATGCTATGTAAACAGTGTGTCGCTCTCTCTGTGTGTGTGTGTGTGTGTAGAACTTCTATTTATTTAATATACAAATATGACAGTAAATGTATGTGACGACAGCTTAGACATTTATGCGCAGTTAAGCTGATTGAAGATTGTGCGATTTCATTTTTTAAGGTCTGGCTAATATAAACATTAGCAGCTTGCGTTACCGAATAAATTATGGCCTTAAGCTGACGCATGTTTTTTATTTTTATCTTTTTTTTTATTTTGCCAAAGTGGACTTTAAATGCTTGAAATATAAATTAAGTGAATGTTTGTGTTGGGCGCTGTCTGCATTATGTCTGCAGCTCTTATTTATGTAAACTCTTTTTTGTTATCTAGCAAATTAATATTTTGATTGATAGCGAAACTTATTTAGTTTAGGCAGAGCAGGAAATTAGCAGCATTGACTGGGTTGGAAACTAGAAACTAAAACACTAGACTAACTATGAATGTGATATGAAGCTTTATTACAAATAAATATATTATTAAAAATATATTATTATTAAGATATTTATTTCTTTTTATTGTTAACAATAATTAATTGCTTACAGCCAAGTCTATGTTTAAAAATTAATACGTTTCCTTTTTGCCTTTACGTTATTTGGAATTTAGACTTCTTGTAGCTTGACAGACTTTTATATTAGATTCTTTTTTGCCTTTTAAATGCTTTTATTTGCCAATAATTTAAGTTTCTTTACATCACTATATGTGTTTGATTGATCTACTAGGCTCAGGCAATATAAAACTTAAAACCTTTCTTAAGCTTGGCTTGCTTTTGCTCTTATTTGAATTTCTTGCAATTTTCAACTTTTAAAACTTTTCTCTTGAAACTTGCATTTGTAAAACTAGGTCTGTTAATGAGAGAAAATTTCGTTTTGCCTTCAGAAGTTTTAATTATAATAATATATAAATAAAGTTAAATATATAAATGTAAATATAGTTAAAAACTATAAGCCTTACTATTATCTAAATATCATTGCTTAAGTTGGTCTGTGACTAAGCTATAATAAACTCGTGATCAGACATCTATCAACAGCTTCACTTTTAAGCAAAATAAGTCTTCAAACTGTTCACTTTTTATATCTGTTTTTCTCATCTCATTTTTTTAAATTTTAATTTAAATTTATTTAAATTTTTTTACTCAACTTCATATTCCACTCTTTTCCTGATTCAGTTTACTCCTGCTCTCTTATTTCTAGCTGCCTCAGCTTAACCTGTCTACTGTATTTATTAACTCAGCTTTTATTAACTATTCTCTGAATAGCCAGTTCTACTTTAACCATAAATGTCATCAACAATTCATCAAACGTTGCTCGAGTTTGGGTAAAGGCTCTGCGCCTGCGAGCCTTTCATATTGATGGCCAAATGTTGTATTTAATGCTCCTACGCAATTTAACTAATTACGATACTTATATAGCTTAAATAAACGTATGGCAGACATTGAGAATAGTTAGATAAACAATCAGACAGACTGATAGGCAGTCTGACAGCCAGACGGGGTCACGTTTGTGTGTAATAATCACAATTTGTATTTGTTTCTTTTTTGTTTGGGTTTTTTTTATTGTTTTATTATGCATTTTTTATTATTCATTATCAATGGGCTGGCTGTTGGGTCTGGTTGGGTCTTTACGCTCGGGTCGTTCGGGGTCTATTGAAAGTGAGTTAAATCAACTGTCGCGACATGCTTAAGCCTTAAGCAATCAGTGAATGGCGCATGTACACATGCACACGAGTCTCAGCTGCTGCGCTGCAATTAGCTTTGGCTAATCAACGAGAGAGAGTGCAAGTGTGTGTGTGTGAGTGCATGTGTGCGAGAGTGTGTGTGCGTCTGCGTCTGAGTTTTATTGCGCTCAGCTGAGTCAGTTTGCACGCTCAGTTATGCAGTCAGTCAGTCAGTTACTCAATCGATTCGCTGGCCGATGAACTGCGCCGGCCCCAATGGATTTCTGATTGCAGTTGCTAAAGTTGTGTGAGTGTGTGTGCTGGCGTATGTTTGCTTGTCTGGTTTGGTTTGCTCTGGCTAGCTCTGTGCATGCCAGCTAATGCGCACGTGTCCCATTCATCAAGCAGGCAGCTGGCCATGGCGCGTGGCTTGGCCCATTTGAATGGCTTCAGGCATAGTCCAAAGTCAATTGCAACTGCACTGCGACGCACATAGCGAAGCCCAAAGTCAAACCTGAACCCTGAAGTAAATCTCCAATTGGCGTTGTCCGCCTGCGGCTCATGCTCGTCTTATCGTCTTCGATCGTTGCCCCAAAACGCACGCGCGTTGAGCTTTCGTTGCGCGTTCAATGAACGCACTTTTCAGTTTCATTTTGTTGACTCTTATTTATACCCTAACACAAGCTATTTACGGCGTTAATTATGCACTTGTTTTGTACACATTTTTGAGAGAATAAAATGCAAATTGACAGTTAAATAACAAACTGCCAGGCAGACTGAGAGAAACTATCTAAATGAACTCTGTCTGTCTGCCTAGCAGACAGCAGTATGTCTAGACCTGCTGCTGCTACTTCACTTATTGTCATAGATATTTATTATATATATATATAGATATATAGCCTAGATTTCATGCTATAATTTATTATGCAAATCCAATTTGACAACGAATTTGTTTTCAAAACTCTTTGTCTGCCATGGAGAGTATTTTGCTGTTCGGCAATGTGAAATTCACAATTTTCTCTCTTCTTTGTGGCTTGTCTTATTTTCTTTTTATGGCTGGGCCACAGATATGCACATAAATACCTTAAATACAACAATAATTTTTGAGAGCTGACGCTGAGGCAACGACCGCATGGCGAAGCGCGAATCTGGCTGCAGCAACAGACAAGACAAGCGATCAATGCACCTTTGTACAAAGGTGCAACGCCTTGTGAGACACGTGTGTGTTGGTGTTGGTGTGTGTGTGTGCATGCAATGACGCACGAAACGCGATCAGAGCTGAAAGCCAGACTAACGTTACCAACGCGAATGCCAGTCGAAGCAGCAAACTTGACCAACATGACTCCATGGCTATTTTTAGCACAGCTGCCGCTGCTGCCGCTGCTGCTGTGGCTGTTGACTGCAATTGGCCCAGACAAAAATTGTTGTTGCCCAAAGCTGGCTGGCTGGCTGCAACGGCTGCGTCTTCGTCTTCATCTTTGTCTTTTTTTTCGCTTTTGATCAGATTTATGCGTGAAGCGACGTTTAACCCGAGGTCGTAACAAGAAAAGGGTGGCTCGCATACTCTGCTGCAGGTGGCTTGCATAGCCATGTAACATGCCACTTTAATAGCACTTTTTTACACACACCCACTCACACACACACCACGCAGCCAGATACACGCACATCTGGCCTGTTGTCTCCAAGTCCATTTGGGAACCAGTTCACGGCGTGCGGAAACGTCGCATATCAACCGCATTGTGTCTTGCATCTTTGCCTTTTGCCTTTGCCTTTGCCTCTCTTACCCACATCTTGTTGTTATTTTCGTCTCGCAGCAGCAGCCGCTTTCGCGGCAGACAAATTTATGAGCGTTAAGTGAAGGCCAATAAAATTCTTTTAGTCTGGACTCGTTTCGAGCTCTTGGCTGGCCAGCATTTTACCTTTGTATATTTTCACAATATCTTCGACTTTGCCCTTCACTCTGCTAACAAAAAAACTCTGCGTATATTAATTGCATCCGCTTGAATCAATAAGGGCGTCAAACTCTTTGAGAGTATTGAGTTTTTATATATTATATAGAATAATCTCTTGATTTTAGATAATTCTATTATAATTGCGTTTAATCACCGTGTAAACGCGAATCGAACAATGAATTTCGTATTAATTGCACTGACTTTGAATGGCCTATGGAACGATAACATTTTGAAGCTTCGTTTCATATTCGATTTCACAGCATGTTGAGATGGTTGCTCTTTTGCTCCTCCCTGAGTTGTTGCCTAATGGTAAGCGAAATCCATGCAGTCCGACAGCAGCTGCGACTCTGAAACTCTTTCTCAATTTGCAGTGCATCATGGCACACGTGACATTTACGAATCTGAAGTGCAACTTCACGAATAACAAGATTGGAGAGTTTCAGTATTGCCAAATTAAGGCGGTCAATCGCACCCACAAGTACATCAGCATCTATGCGAAAATCTTTCCGAAATCCATAGACAATGTAACGGTAAGCGGCACGTCGACTGTGGCGAATGAAGATCCTCTCTAAATATGTCAACTTCTGGCCAACAGGTGAACTTGCAGTGCATGCGCAATAACAATGGCTTTAAGCCCTTTATAATAATCAAATCGTTTGATGCGTGCAAATTTCTAAAGAATCCGACAAATCCAATTTTGATCTCGTATTACAATACCTTCAAAGATCGCTCCAACATCAATCACACGTGTCCCTATGATGTGAGTAGCTCAACTGCGCCACTTACATAACACTAACTTCTTCTGCTCACTTAGCATGACATTATCATCGACAAGGTCTATACGGGCAATCATGACTTGTTGTTCAGCCGATTTCTGCCCATACCGCATGGCGACTATGTCATCGTAGTAACGTTCTTTGTCTACAATGCTGAGGCGAGCAAGGTTCATCTTTATTTGAAAATATCTTAAGGCAAGAATTTAACACGGCTCATAAAATATTTGTGAAATTTCTGTGTGCAAATAAATTAAAGAGCATAAACATGATGTCTATTAATCTACAGGGTTTGCGCCTTCAGTTTTTAATAATATTAAGTGTACTTGGAATTTCTGTTCTCTAATGACATTGAATATGAAATTGTTTTCACTTCGGTTCACGGCATGTCCCCAGAGTCTGGCCCGAATGCTGCTCAAGCAGCCAAGTCAGGTGAAGCGACAGCTAATCGCTTGGGTAAATAGTTTACTCTGGACAGCAACTGACTCGCCCACTCTCCCACTCTCTCTCTCTCTCTTTCTAGCCTGCTGGCTTGCGTAATTTAGCTGGCGGACTTTGTGGCTTTGCTCTTGAGCCTGTCGGCTTACGCCAGCTGCGCCAATCAGAGCTTTTCGTTAGGTAGCCAATTAATGTTTTACAAAAAAGTTCTGCTACCCAAACTTCGCTATTTGATTCACATTTAAATTGCGCCAAAAAGCGTACAATTTCATTAGCGATACGCATCAAGCTCCAGTTAGTCAAAAATAACGTATACGCATCATCAGTTCATTTAATCACTTAAGTGGCACCTCAGCTATTATCTCAATTGAGCACGAATAGAAAATGTAAATGTAAATATATCGCATATGGAGCTCAATCCATTTTGATGATACAACAAATTTGATAAATAATGACAAAAATACTTAATTGACATCGACTGTATCTAATGCATTTTTAGAGCCTTTGCTTAGCTCTGGGACTCTGGGACTTAAACAAAATTATGTATACAGGCGTACTGCGGCTTGGAAGGACAGCATAAAGTTTTGTTAGAGTTTCAAAATTTGTAAGTTAAGTAACTCCCTCTTAAGATATGTCCAAACCAACTTAACTAATTTAAGACCGCGAACATGCACTTCATCTACTTTTTTTCGTCTATATGCATAGCTTATCTATTTACCCAAAAAATATCTCTGGTATCGATTAGCTTAGCCTTGCTCCAGGGATCGTGTAGCTAATTTTCAGTTTTCCGTTTCAACTCGTTTGCTGGAAATACGTCAGCCCCCTTTAACCCATTGACCCCTTGTTGTGCACACACAAGCTAGCCATAATTAAGACAATACGCCAAGTGAAGAGCCCTTTGGGTGAAATGAAGCGCAAACTGATTGCATTTGCCACTGGAGGTGGACATGAATGTGAACGCTGACATGTTGTAACCATATTGCGGCCTGTGGCATGTCCAACTGGCCCTTATTACCAGCTTGGTCAACTGGCTCGTTAGACTTGGCCAACAGCGAGAGAGAAAGAGAGAGGGAGGGAGAGAGCAAGACATTGCAAAGAAGTGCAATGCGGCAACTACAAAGAAGACGAAGCCCGAAGACGAGGACAACGACGACGACGACGACATCGAAGAGGACGTATCTGGTACACTGATAGCAGACCAGGGCGGCAAACCTCACAGAGGCAAACCTTGGTGGTGGTGGTGCTGCAGCATAGTGGGTTGAAATCGACACTGACACACGCACAGATGTCGCAAACGCTTTGAAGTTGTTTTTGTTTTTGTTTTTGTTGCTGTTTTTTTTTTTTTTTTTGTGAAGTTTGAGCTTGTCTTTTGGCGATGCCGCCGCGTTTCGAATTGCAATCGGCCAGGCAAATGAGCAGCGAAGCGTTTCCCCTACCAAAGCACAGACACACACACACACAGACACACACAGGTGTGCGTGTGTGTTAATTGCATTAAAATGTTTGTAATTGCAATGCGGCATCAGCTCGGCATCAGCTTTCGCATCGCTCTCTTATCGCGGCGAGCAAATCTGTGCACATTCAAAAAATGCCATAGATGCCGCCACATGAAAGAGCGCGAATCGTGTCGTAACTATAATTGCCATAATAACATAATATCGCAGCGGTTGAGAGCTGCGGCAGATGCAGCAATGCGAAATACCAGAAGACCAACTACAAGAAAAGTGAAAGCTGTCGCCACAAATGCCCACGACACAACATGCGTCGTGCTGCACTCGAAGAAAATGCGTGAAATTTCTAATTCGATTTCCCTTCAATTCTGGGGTGGGTAAATGGCTAATGAGAATATATTGGTTTTATGCAATGTCCGTCTTACTGTTCGTTAATGCGTTCGTCCTTACGCCAATCTATTGGTTCTTATGCCTATCTATTCGTCCTTCCGTCTGCTGGTTCGTCCTCCCGTCTATACGCTTGCCCATCTGTCTGTATATTCATCCATTCATCCGTGTGTATGTCCGTCCTTCCATCTTGTTGTTTATCCGTCCGTCTATCCATCCTTCTATCCGTTCATCCTTTCATTCGTCCGTTTGTCCGTCGCCCACCTGAACTTTTGCTCGTCTGTTCGTTTGTTTGTTCGTCTGTCCATTAGTCCGTCTGTCCATTCGTCCGTCTGTCCATTCGTCCGTCAGTCCATTCGTCCGTCTGTCCATTCGTCCGTCTGCCCATTCGTCCGTCTGCCCATTCGTCCGTCTGTCCATTCGTCCGTCTGTCCTACTACTACTACTATGTCTTAAGGTGCTGAATAATAATTATCAATAATAACAGGAAAAATTAAAAAAAAGAAGATTTCAGATTGACAAAAAAAATATTTATATATAGTATATATATAGCCTGGTGAAAACTGTATAATAAATGCCTCTACAAAATGTTAGCTAAAAATTAGTTGGATGAGCTTTGTATCAGAAATCAACGTCTATTTTTCAAAATCCATTATATGTATATAAATAAAAATACGTTTAAATCAACAGTAAGTTTGCTTTTGGCTCGCTAAGTCAAATTTAATGTAAGACATGACACTTCGTGTCTTGGTCGTTCCGTTGTTACGAAACTTTTTATAATAATTTTTCGGTATTTTATTGTGTGGAATGGGTGACATAAATTCTAGTCGACTGCCACGTTGGTGGTCCGGTGGGGTTTGTTCCGCGATGGCAGTAACGACGACACATCCGCTAGATTTGGTAAAGGTTCAGTTGCAGACGCAGTCTGAAAAGGTGCCCGTATCGCGACTGATTAATAACATATATAGGAATGCGGGTAAGCGTGATAAAGAAATAAGGAAATGCAATGCCAAATGAACTTGTTTTAGGACTCCTGGGGTTCTACAGCGGTATTTCGGCGTCATGGTTCCGTCAGCTTACCTACACCACGGCCCGATTTGGTCTGTACGAATATGGTAAGAACTTTGTAGACGCCAATAATATGTCAGCAAAGTTCCAATTGGCCGCGGGGGCGGGTCTGTTGGGTGGAATACTGGGCGTGCCGGGTGATGTGGTAACAGTGCGGCTGCAGAACGATTCCAAGCTGCCGGTGGCCGAGCGTCGAGGGTGAGCAATGAAACCAACCTATTGATTTTAATCACTGAAGGTTGCTTGAATTGGATCAAGATCAGGCAGTGGCAGTTAGCAGAGATGGCGAAGCTGTTGCTCAGCAGTCAGAATAAGATATTGATAGAATTGAAGTTAATTAGCAATTGATTCTCTGCTCTCTCTAGAAGAGTCTAGCATTAAGTTTTACCCATTCAATTCGATTTGAGTGGGGTGTAGTTCAGATCTAGAGTTTTTATATTTGTCACAGTTTTTATAACGTAATTTATATCGATAAATATCGAATTATAGCTCTAAGTTTTCGATCTAATTTAGTTTGATGAATAATAGATTCTACTGTTTGACTAGATTTTCTAGCTCTAGTTTATCGATGACTATTTTACGCCCAGCGATAAGAATCGATTTTCAGCTAGCTTCTTTGAGCACTAAAATATGTTTCACAGATCTCTCTTTCTGTCTGCCTCTCTGCTTTAATAAGATCCTACCATTTCCCAGCTATAAACACGTTTTTGATGGCCTTTATCGGATCGCGAAGGAAGAGGGCTTTAAGAGTCTGTTTCGAGGCACCATACCAGCAGTAACGCGGGCCATACTATTAACAATTGGCACAAATGCCGCATATGACCAGGTTAAGCAGGTTTTAAAGGGTGACGTTGGTATTAAGGAGGGACTTCCCCTGCATTTCCTAACATCAACAATTGCCGGTTTCATTGGCACCATAATGACGCAGCCGATCGATGTGATGAAGACAACGTACATGAATGCACCGCCAGGTGAATTTAGAGGCCTGGCTGATGTTGCTGTTCACACAATGAAACAGGGTCCATTGGCTTTCTACAAGGGCTTCGTGCCGGCTCTGCTGCGCATCAGCCCGAACACGATAATCACCTTTATGCTGTACGAGCAGGCGCGCTTACGCTTTGGATATTTGCCATCCAATGACTCGGACTCAAATAAGAAATTCAAATAGGATTTATATGTTTATATATATATGCATTTACATATATAGATTTATAGACACGGACAATACGTGGCCAACCTGAAGATGCAAACGACGATGTCACAGCCGCTGCATCGGCAATTGCAGCAGTTGGCTTGAGTTGCGCATATTTTCACATGAGGAAACTGGACTGACTGAAGTAGGCGACTGTAAACGGAAGCATCTTTTGGCTTTCTGTCTGTCTCGCCGCCTAGTTGTAGTCGGTTTGTTCGCTTTTTTTACTCTACACGTACTGTAAGTGTAGCAAAGATGTATTGATTATGAGACATTGAATGCTACAGCCAGAATATGGAGTCGAGTAAAGTCGCGCTGCTGTAGCCATCTTACCTGTCTACCCGTTTTTATGCAGGTGCATATTAACAAAACATCAATTCTTAATTTAATAAAATTTGAACTATAAATTTACAGCTTTAAATTCAAGAGCCCAGCCACAGAGTATCCGCTAGTCGTGCACACTTACCGGCTAAGCACTCTACTTGTCTTCCAGCTTTATTTGGTGCACAGTTTTCTGTCTGTCTGGCCATTTCCACACGCCGCCCCGCCGCTTGCCCGTCTGTCTTGTTTGTCAAAGAGAAACAGTTAAATGCCAGTTTACCAGTTAAATCGGAATCAAAGCGAAAACAATGACACAGTAGCAGACCCCCGCCCGTCAGCTACTCCGGCAGACCACAGTCGGAGCGACAGCGACAGCGAGAGCGAGAGCGAGAGCTGAACCCGACCTGCTGCTCGCCAAATGGCAAGTGAAGTAACTGCACGAAAAAAAAATCGTCTAGACACAGACTAGACTCCATAAAAATAATTATTATCGGTTGCAATTTCTGTGCCTGTGCCTGTGCCTGTGCCGGCCACCCCTTGCGCCCCTGACTCCTATAGCTCTCCTCCCTCTACACAAACATGGTTCGGCTTTTCGCTTTGGCGCTCGACTCGATGGACGTCATTCGCATCATTCGTTTTCATCTGCTTCACATTACGATTGTAGCTTCTATTGCTCTCTCTCTCTCTCTCCTCTCACTCTCTTGACTAGTTTCTCTCTTCTTTTTTTCTGTTTCTTACTCAGATTACGTTCGCGATCGAATCTATTTAACGTACTCAAGTCCTGCCTGTGCTGTTCACTACTGAAATGTACATGCAGATCGCTTGCTCTTGTGCTGAATATTAAGTGTTGTGAATTGAGAAGTTTTAGAATATAAATTTTATTTGTTCAATATAATTTTTTAAGAGTGCGTATGGCAGCAAACTGCAAAAGAAACATCAGTTTGATATTTTAATGTGAGTCAATAAAAGTCTGACTCTTTGTGGCGAGCTACAGGCTAGACTAGGTGTTGGGCAAGGGCTGAGTGTGTCGCAATATATATTCAATATTATTGAAACGTTCTCTAAAATGTTCTTCGTTTTATGGAGATTGTAATATTTAGTTATATATGGAAACACATAAAAAATATCATAGATAAGTGAAGAAAGTTTTGCTAATTTTTTAACTTAACGGGTGCTGACTGTACCTCTTATATATGTATGTATATCGTGCATTGGAAAGGGTATTTTATTTTCGTGAACTCCCTCATACGTCAAACTCTCTAGCTTACTCAAGCCCTCTTTATCTGCGTCAGTCTTTCACTTCGATCCTCTCACTCACCGTTCTTCTATCCCTCCGTTCCTCTCTCCCTTTGTTCCTCTCTCCCTCCGTTCCGCTCTCTCCATTCCTCTCTCTCTCCGTTCCTCTCTCCCTCCGTTCCTCTCTCCCTTCCTTCCCCTCTCTTCCCGATCCTCTCCACTCTTTTCCTCTCTCCTTCCCTTCCTCTCCCTCTCTCCCTCTGCCAAGCTCTCCCTCTCCCTCTCTCTCGCTCTCCCTGTCTCCCACTCTCTCTAAGTCTCACTTTTAACATTTTGACTACAATTGGAAAACGTAATTACATTTATTGCGAAACAAAGCTTTATATAGGCGGAAGGGTGGCCGACGGGACAGTCGGCTTGATAATGGACGCTGGTCAGTTAGGCGCTTGGCTGCTCAACACACACACAGAGAGTGTGTGTGTGTGTGTGTGTGTTGTGGACAGACAGATGGATGGATGTGGATATGTTTGATATGCTGTCGACACGCATCGCTGAGCATGCAACGCCGGCAACTTTGACAGCGGCAATGGTGCGACAAGAACGACAGCAATGTGGAGCAAGCAAATATGCGACACAGGCCAGAGCCAACAGGGTAGGGGGCAAGAGGTAAGGGATACTGGTGGCACCAGGTAATTGCCACAATTTGCTCGTTGCGTGAATGGACAACAGAACAGAGCGAACAAATGGAAAGGGTGCAAAAGGACGACAACTTCCGTCAATGTTCTGCCCCGAGCAGTGGCAGAGTGCAGGGGGCAGCTGGCAGGAGCCGACTCTGTGGCAGGTTTTATGTATTTTTATGTTTTTTTTTTATACGTTTTGTGTTTTGTTGCTCGCTCTTGCAACGCCTTCTGTCATATTTGAGGTGCGCATAAAGGCACTCAACGCCGCCATAAATCAACTGCCAACTGCACTTCTGATCTAAGGCTGTCAACCGCCGCACCACCGCACCACCGTTGGCAGCGTAACCAGCGAACCGCCAAAGCGGGCAACAACGACAACTCTTTAGGCCATAACTTTACAGACGACAAAACAGACGGTTTCACCTGAGCTTCGAGCTGGCAAGCTCGCCGCTCGCCTCTCGCTCCTTTGGCCCTGCTTGGCTGGCCCCTTAGCTTGCTCTTATGTCTAGACTACAGACGCTGTCTGTGGCGGCTGCCGCGCAGCAACAGGAAACAGCAGACAGCAGACAGCAGACAACTGTGACAGCTCGAAGCAGAGCAGAGCAGAGCAGAGCCAAGCAACTGCAACAGTGGCAACAGCAAACATTTTACCTGTGTCCAGCTTGTTTCAAATGAGCCAACAATTCTCAGCTGTCAATAATGTCTGTCATTGTTGTTCAATGCTTTCTAACAGTCAGTGCTGACAGCGTGTCGTGTCGTGTCGTGCCGTGACACAAAAGAGATTTCACATAATTGAAATATATAAGGCTATAAATATCTATCTAATTTATATATATTCATTCCAGGACTCAGGCACACATCACTAAGGCTTAGCTAAATTATGCGACTAACTAGGTTTTATCTCAAACGCCGCGGCTGCTGCAAAAACTGTGCAAAATGCATTTGGCCCCAAAGCTTGAAAGTTAAGTCCTTGGACTCAGGCGGCAGAAGTTCTAATCCTTTGGAAATTGAGTTGTAAAATGACAACTATGTGGAGGCTAGGTGTGTGCGTGTGTGTTAAGCAATCCCGGCAATGCAATGCACATGTTTGGCTCTCCAAAAAGTCGCCAGACCTTTGAGAGGCATGGTCAAAAGGGTGTGTGGAAAGGCGTGGCAGCGGAGGCCATTTGGCGTTCCGCTTAATTATTCAAAACCATGTCATGTCTCTGTATAATTTTATGCATTGGCCAATGCGAGCGCCAGCTCGTGATGATGATGATGATGATGATGACGAGGGGCTGACGCCTACACAGTCAGACGATGCAGACAGACGGACGGACAGACAGGCAAATGGATAGATGGCAGCACAGACTGCGAGAGGGGCAGAGACAGAGGCCAGACACAGTCAGACAACGCAGCGACAACTGCACACAGACAGAGAAGGAGCCACATGTGGCAATCACGAAACGTAGTGCCGTTACACATACTACAACGCACACACACACTGTGGCAAGAGTGAGAGCGTGGCATACCAGACAGTCTGACGCTGTTGGAGCCCACGTAGAGCGCAGCTACTCAGACTGCAAGTTGTTGTTGTTGTTGTTGTTGTTGCTGGCCAGGTCTCCGTCTGTCTGGACGACCAGCAACAGCAACAGCAACGTCGACAACGACACAGTCTGTGGCAGACCGAGACTATCGAAAACTCGAAATTTATTCGTTGGAAAAAGTTGTATTCAGCTTTTTTTTCTGTTATTTTTTTGCGCTCTCTTTTATTTTTATGTTTTTTTTTTTTGCATTGGTCGTCTGTTGTAGTTGTTGTTGTTGCTGTTGCTGCTGTTATTCTTTTTAGCTCGCAGTCAAAAATGAGTTGCAAAAATGCCCACGAAAATTATGTTAACCAGCGGCAGCTGTGTTCGAGCAAACCCACATCTACATCTTCATAGCAACTCAAGTCAACAGTTCCCCCGCTCAATAAGTGACGCTAAAGCTGAGCAGTCGATGCAACATGGAGCTGATCGGTAATTGATATTGTTGGCAATGACAAAAGCAAATTAGAACTTTGTGTATGGGCTCTAGTATACTGTGGATTTAGTATATAAAACACGTATAACGAATCATGAGAATTGGTGTCGCCTTGAATAACTTATGCAATATTAAAGCTCGGACTGAGCTTCTCAGATCAAAATCAAAATTGAGAGTTACTCAAAAATAAACTTTATATGGCTTTATATTATTGATATGTACAATTTATTTAAAGAGGCATAATTTTTTCGACAATCGCCAACAAATTGTGTGAAGAAGAAATATTAAAAATTAATTTAAAAAATTTCTATATTTTCAAATTTTAAAAACAAAAAAAATTAAAAATAAAAAAGTGAAATTAGCAGAAAATAATAGTTAAATATTTTAAAAATTTGCAAGAAACTGCAGAGTGCGCATTTACTAAAATATACATTTTTTACAATTTATTTTACAATTTTACTTTTTATTTTATTTGACTTTTCTTATGTATTTTTAGATTATAAAATATTTTTAAAATTTTTACTTCTTTTTTGTATAATATATAATTTATATCTTTATTTAAATTATAATTTTCTTAAATATGTTTTTACATGATTGCAAAATAAATTGGAAAAATCAGTTTTTTTAACTTAATATTTTCCCAAACTATAATTTTAAAATTTTTTAAAGGTAAGTACATACGGAAAACGATTTCCAAATAAAGTAAAACAATTAAAAGTTGAATAAATGAAGCGGACAAATGTAGAAGAAAATGCCATCAATTGTGAAAATCTTTTAGGTTTTTCCCAAGTTAGGTGAGTTAAAGGTAAAGAGCTTTTTTTTTATTTTAATGTTGACAGTTAAACAAATAAAATAAATAATTTAATTTTTATTTAATGAAAGATTTATTTGGCTAAATACATTTGTAGGTCGTTCTCTTGTCTAAGAGTAAATGGAATAAGAGTTTCGCAGGTGAATTTATGTAGCATTTCGTATATTTATAATATATTTCCGCTCGTTAAGCATTGCAGACATATATATGTATATATGCATTATAATATATCCTAGGAGCTATATCCATCTGTGCTGTAATATTACTCACCGTATTTATGCCAAAAGCTTTGCTTGTTCGTTGTAGTTGTATCGATGTCTGAATTCTCTTCGTAGAGCTCTGTATAGAGTATGAATTCGACTCGTGCTGTGGTTGTTGTTGCTGGAGTTGTTGTAGATTGTTGTTGCTGCTGCTGCTGTTGTTGTGGTGTCAAAGGTGATGCGTTGGTCGCTGTTCGGACTGTATCACGATTAAAAATTCGATGCGCAGCATGCAGAGTGTTGCGTGTTGTTGTTGTTGTTGTTGTTGGCACATGAGGCGCAGCCGTTGTCGTTGCAATTGTTGTTGCCGTTTGCGTTGCTTGCAACAATGTAGCACGTTGATTAATTTGATATGGCAGCAACATGGACGCGGGCGAACCGAATGCCGAGGGCCCAATGGCAGTCGAGTGCGACGCGGCGCGACGTTCAAGAGGCGTGGCAATAGCGAAAACGGGCACCGAGAAATAGGCGCGTGTTGCAACAGTTGCCGTTGTTGCTGCTGCTGCTGCCGCCGTTGTTGGTAATTTATTAGGTAAATTTGTGGCTGGCAGCGAATTATGTTTGGGCGACACTTTGCTCTGGCTGCCGTTTATAATTAAATCTAACTTATTATTTGCACTATATACACTGTGCGAAACGCTGAGCGTATCGTACGCACCACTATATACACTTTCACCGACAGCGTTTCCACTTGCGACGTTTCCAATACGTTTGCGATATGCTTGCATTGACAATCGTCTGCTGCTGTTGCTCTGCTCGCATGTCCGACAGATTTTGCTCAAGTTGTTGTTGCTGTTGTCGTTGTTGTTGTCCTGCTGCGCCCGCAAGTATGCAATACTCTGCCTTTGGGCATAGTCTGGACTATTGGCGCGTCTGTGCATGGGCACCGCGAGGGCTTGCGCCGACCACAATATGATTGTTGCCAGTAGCGTTAAATTGAACGCTAACAATGTGCTTGTACAGCGGGCCCCCGCGGCGCCTTTGGCTGAATGCGTGGGGGCCACAGCGTCAACTGTATGCGAATGGATAGTTCACTGCACTCGACGACGGCGACCACAGTGCCACATCAATTGAAGCCCCAACAAAGCTGACCCAATGCGCAGCGACTGCAAGAATTTTACAAGAAAACAAAAAGCGAGATATGTTTAAAATGAAGGTGAAGAGTGAACAAGAGTTAACAAACAAATAGGTAAAAGTTGAAGCGAATGATTTGGGAGTGAGGGCGAAAGAGAGAGGATGGGAATATTCTCTATGAGAATCCAACTTGACAAAAGCTACTAAAGTCTTGCAAGTCTTAAGATCACTCTTTACCTCAATAATAATAAAAAATTATATTTTATGTAAATCTTTAATGTGGAGTTTACTGTTTTAGCCATACTTTTTGGGCTGTAAACTTTATAAGAATGTGAAATAGTTCAAAATTTTATTTTTCATAAAAAATATTTCTTTAACAAAGAAAGACGATTACTATTTCTAGACATTTTTTATTATAAACATTTTAATAAAAGTTGGAAACATTTAATATGCAGATTCAGTGCTTAAATAGTTTACATTTTTATAAGGTACACAAACTAAAAAGTAAATGCTGAGTAAAGAATTGAGGCTACTTTTTCTATTTATTTTTTAAATTTTTATAATATATTTCTAGTTTTCATTTAACAGATTTTTTTTATTTTGATTATTTAAAAAAAAATGTAAAAAAAGGGCTAGTTTTTTAAATTTTTTTTATAAAATGATAGATGAACTAAAAGAGTCTATAAATTAACTATTTTTGCTTTGATTAAAAATTATAGCTTTTTAAATTATTTTCATAGCTAAGCTTTGTTCACACAATACACGACGTATACGTAATATACATCGTGTGTGAAACACGAATTTTTATGCCTGAATATTTAAGGCACCTTTATTGTAAACGTGTAATAAACAAGTAACAAACAAATATTTCTAGTCGAATATTACACAGTTTTAAACGTTTCTTAAGCGTCATTTAACGTGTCGTATACTTGATGCTTGATTGCTAAATCAAAACTTAGTTTTCTTTGTCTTAAGTGCTGCAAGTAAACTTTGTGTTAACTTCCGTTACACTAATACTGTAAGAATTCTATATCTAAAATAGCCTTAAGCCCTGCCACAGCCGACTCAATGTGGCACAGAATTTTCTCTCAGTGCACGCTGTTGTGTGGTCGCCCACTTTTGAGTTGTTATTTTTTGTTGTATTTTTTCTTGGGACTGCTTCCTTTGTTTTTGTTTTCGTCTTGGTTGTTGTCGTCTGTCCCTGTTACAATGTTTCTGTCGCAACATGATTTCCCAACATCTCCCGCCCAGAACTTTGCCCAAAGCAAGGCACTTCTGGTGGGGAAAGGGGGGCCTAAGCAAAGGGTATGTGGCTGTTGATCAGCAACAGACGCGGGCATAAATAACGCAACATGTGTGTGCGCGCGCGTGTGTGTGTGTGTGTCGGCACTCTTTGCCAAGACACAGAAAACAAGCGCACGGCAAACGGTGCGTATGCGCAATATATTGCACAAATTTATGTTGCACTTCGCGTAGACTTCACTTTTATTATCATCCACGTTGCGTGCGTTTTCATACACTCGCTCTTCTTTGAAAAGAGAGTATATGGGTTTTGTGGCCACCTTTTATTGTAGTTGGCTGGATTTGCCATGGGATTTAGGATATGGAAACAAAATGGGCCTGCGAAGGGCGTGGCATATGAGAAAAAACTTCAGATTAGATCAATTTTGAGTTACTTCAAAGTTTGACCAACTTTTCGACGAGCGAGAGTCAAGCAGTTGGTCATAGCCGCTAGAAGCAACATTCTTATTTGTTTGCTAAATATATAAAATGCAACAACAACAAAGCACACATAGACAACAGCATTGTCCCCCACGGATGGCTTATGCTTAGGTCTTTGCTTATGTCTATCCACTCTGCTTGCCACGCCTGTTGCATTGTTGTTGTTGCTGTTATATGACGAAAGATTACAAGCGACAACAAAAATAGGCTAAAATTAAAGTAGCTAAATTAATGGCATAGTTGCTGCTTTGCTGTTTTGCTGTTTTGCTTCTGTCTGTCCCTCTGCAGCAACGAGAAATAAAAGGTGGAATGACTTTTGCCTGGCATTTTATATTCATGATGCACGATTTCGATATAGAGACAGCAACAATTCTCTGCCAGTCTCTACAGACTTTAGCTGCTGTTTTGCTCACTAATTGTCATTGGAGTCACAGACGGACAGACAGAGTGGAAGACAGTTGGATAGACATTTTGACTAGTTGGCTGCTTCGCTTAATATGCAGCCAGATCGCTGGCATTTCACTTTGATATGACTGTCTCAGACACAGATTGAGGCACAAACAAACAGTTGAGAGCTGGCGCAGGGGTCGGGGCAGCTGCACAGTTGATCGACAGCAAAACAAAGCCAAAAGTCGCGGCAGCTTAAAAAACTCAATTTCATTTCCATACTCAACTCAAATTTTATGGCCAGACTTAAGTTTAAGTTTTTTTTTAATGCCCTGCCGAGTATAACTTTGACTTGATGAAGGAGGCTATATAAATAATTGTATATATATATATATGTATATATATAGATATATGATCAGATGATGTTATAGGCATGAGGTCTTCTCAGCTGAGCCTTTTCTGCCTGAGCTGAGTCTACGTTTCCTACGCAGTCTACTTTTCCTTGCACTTAGGACAACTAATATTATTATTATTTATATTATTATTTATTATTTACTATTATTATTTATATTTTTTAAATTTATTGCTTATATTTCAACAGAGTATTTTAATTTTGGCGCATTAAAATTTTGATTTACTTCTGTTTGTTTTTTCTTATTGAAATGCCAGTGCCATGAAACAGCAGCACTCAGCCTCATCATCATCAGCATCATCATTATAATCAGCGGCTACAAATGTTATTGTCTCCCGTGTGCACCCCGTTCACCTCTGCACTCCAGTCCACTCCACTCCACTTCAAGTGAGACGCGGCTACTGTTTCTTGCAATATATTTTTGTGTTGATCTCCTTTTTGTGTTTGTTGTTTTTGCAATTTATTTGATTGCCTCTCCATTTGCGCCCGCTGCAGCCTCTGCCTCTGTCTCTGTCTCCGCCTCTGTATTCGTCTGTCCGTTGTTTTTTTTATCACGTCACGGACTCCTGCTTGTGCTTCTGGTTCTGGGATCAACGTTCAGTTGCAATTTATGCGCGATCATAAAAACTCGCTCAGACCCATAATTAATAAGTGTATAAACCCCTTACGTCTACAGAAGAAGACGGCGAAGAAGAAGAAGCTGAAAAAGTGCTGACAAGTGCTACTCTTAGCCGCACAGTGTGTCAAAAGCAATTTGCATTTGTATTGCCAAAACAAATCCAACAACTTGACCGGAAATACCATATTTCGCCCTGCTAAACAACAAAAACTCTTCGGCCATAGGCGTTTTTAGCTAATTCAAAAAAAAAAAAAAAAAAAAAACAACAACTATTAAACTGAGAAAAAAAACATTCCAGTTTATTTTTAAACAAGTCGCTAAATTCTTGAATTTATTTCGGTGGCAAAAAGCGAAACAGACGCAAACGCAGGAATTTGGCCGAGAGCGAGCGAGACGCAGCTACAATAAAGGGTAGCCAAAAGAAAAGTGAGAGAAAAATACTTGTAGCAATGTGCAGCGATAACAAAATGTTATCGATAACAGCCTGTGTCATTTGTTAGTTGCATCAAGTCGCAGATAATGCCAGTTGTATTTCTTTTAAGTAATCTAACCAAGGGTATAACGTCAAAGTCAAAGAGCAATTAGTTGCAGAGAGAAACTATTGGTTATAGAGTCTATGATCATATATGAACGGTTAGACATACGAGAGAGCTAGTTTTTTATTGTTTGATTTAATTAAAAAAAATTTAATTCTATACAAACAACCTCAATATACAAAAACAGTTGCTATATGCTAAAATTATCTATTCAAATTTTCAGTTTATAAAATATTAGGGTAATTAGAATTTTTTTCTTTTATTATTCTTATTTTATTTAATTTTTGAATATTATTTCACAATTTTTAAACTTTTATTGGTTGTTTTCTTCTAAAATTTTTTTTCATAATTTAATTGTTTTTATTTATTTAAACGATTATTTTATTTTTTATATTTTTATTTTATGATTTATTTTTTGAAGGTTTTTAAAATTTTTTTAACATTTCTTTAAGATTTTTGTTTTTTTTTTTTTAAATATATTTCTTGGCATTAATCATTTTTATTTATTTTTTTTTTTTGTATACATTTTTAGTTTATGATTTCTTTTCAGACTGTTTTTTCACTTATTTTTAACATTTCTTTACTTCTTTTCTTTTTTCTCTGAATATTTTCAAGCTTTATTTTTATCTTGACTTATTATTTTATTTATTTTATATATTTTTTGTATGTTTAATTTTTTTATGATTTACTTTTTGACTATTTTTTAATTTTTTTACATTTCTTTACAGTTTTTCTCTGAACGTATTTTTTACCAGTGAAATGCTAAATTCTAAAAAATTCCCTGAGAGAAGTTTGAGTCGACAGCCTTATCCATGCTATGTGTTGGCTATAAGAATGCTTCTAAATTTGCTAAAGACTTTTATTTAGGCCTATTAATATACAATTCTTTTAATATTTATATATATATTTTTATACAAAATTTCGTTTCAGTTTGTTTCGATATTTTAACCTAATATATATATATTTAAATATATCACAAGAAATAGTTTTTAGCTGTTTTTGGTTTTCTAGCAGTTCAAAAGAGCATTAACACTTCGGTTAGCCGAAGAAGAAGAAGAAGCAGACACTTATACTCTACTGCAGCTGTATTCGTAGTGTATTTTGTGTATCGCATACCAAAGTCGAACGCCAATTTGACATTGAGCAAACGTAAATTCAGCGAATTCCTGCGTAAATCGATGAAAGACCACGAGACCGCAAAAAAGGACCGAGCCCAAATAAAAAACACAATAACAACAACAACAACAAAAA